CATGGAGGAGGCTTATCGGGGAGGCGAGGAGGAGGGAGGACCCCGGAGTGCGAGGATTGATGGGAGTGGCGCTGAGCGTAAAGTCGCACGGAGGGAGACAGGGCCCGCAGCGCGTCTTCCTCTTTCTGCGACGAGCACTGCCGTTCCCGCTGTTGTACTTTCCCGTCCCTTTCCCTTTTTCTCTCGGTGTCGCCGTAAGCGTAAGCCCGCGTCTCTCTCCTCTCTCTCTCATCTTCCCATATCTGTATCTCTCTCTGTAACTCACCTGCCGCTCTTTTAGCTCTCCCCGCAGTGCCATGTCTTACCGCAGACGCGACGCAAGCCAGGGCTACTCCAGCGCCGACGCCTACCGCGCAGTCCCCGCCACCTCGCCGTCCTTCGTCACCGCCCGTGTCGGCGCCGCCAACAGCAACACCCCCTCGTCCTCCGACGAGGACGCCCACCTCACGTCTCCTGCCGTGTCCCCCCAGCCCGGGCCCATCGCCCAGTCCTTCGTTCGAGCACGCGCCGGCTCAGCTGCGCGCCATCGCCGTCGCGACTCAGCCGACGAGCGCGATATCGTGGACGGTCCGCCGCTCTCCCCGCCGCGTCCCCAGTTCTTCGCAGTCCCCGACCGCTCCTCGTGGTCCTCCAACGACCAGGAGCCCGCAAGCGACTCTGACGTCTCGTCCGCAGCAAACCTCGCTGGCCGCGGCTCGGGTCGTCGCATGTCTGTCGAGGGCAACCCCGTGAACCGCGTGCAGATGCGCTCTGTGACGCAGCCCATGCTCGCCACTCGCGGCCCCCCTCGCGCAGCCAGCCCCCGCCAGCGCAATCACCGGCGCAGCAGCATGGCGACCGAGTATGCTTATAGCGCCGGCATTGCAACCGAGGAGGAACTAGCCTCCCCGACGTCGTCCATTAATGAGCACAACCCCTTCGGCACGCCCACGGACACGCCCCGCAACAGCCTGTATGGTGGGCAGGCGCCCAACCTCGCCGCTGCCGCAAACGCAGCGCTGGGCGATAAGAAAACGCCCCCGTCAGCGTACTCCTTTCCCTTCCAGTCGCACCCCGGCAACCCCGACCCTGGACTGTCGGTTCCCGGCCGTCGCACGTCTGCCGAGTCGCTCCGCTCCCGCACGGCTCCTCCAGGCGTGGGTGCGCCGTTGTCACCCAACGCAACCAACGCGACGAACAACAACCCGCTGACGCCTCTGGGATCTGCAATGGGGACGACCTACCCAGTGCCCGCGAATGGGCAGAGCTACGGCCTGCTGAACGACGTGGAGGAGCTCGGGCGCCCATTTGCGCCGTTCATGGGCGACGGGAGCGACCGCAGCCAGACGCCGCCGAGCCCCAACGCCAGCCAGAGCCAGCTGTACCGCGGTAGCGCCGCCGGTGCGATGCAATATGGAGGTACGTACTGGTGCCATGGCTACCTTGTGAACAGAAATGGTGCTCCGGGGCTTCCACGCACAGGATCGACAGCGGCGATGTCGATGCGTGCGCCGTTACGTCGAGGCTGTGGGCGCCGCGCGTGCCGTATGTGTACCCGCTCGCAGGCGGCGCTCTTCAACCCAGCACCGGCTCACAAGCCCCGCCTCCTGACGCTTGCATTTCGGTGCTACACAACTAGATACTGTACATGAGAGCCTCCGTCTGATCTCGCACACCCGCCGTCACGGCACAGCCCCTCCCCCGACAGCCTGAAAGTTCAAACCATAGTCAAAGGGATGCAGGAAACAATGCACCGGGACGCGGTAAGTAGACGGTGGAGCAAATATGCTGAAGATCAATGTCAGGGTCGCAAGGCGGGACGCCGTAATACGACCAGCGGGCGCGTCTTCTCGCGTACCCCGGTCATTACTCGCTCTTAACAGCACGACGACGACTGGTGCCTGTCAGCGCCTGCCGCGGGAACGCGCAGCCGGACACACGCGACGCGTGGAGAAATGACTCGCGGGCAGACGAGCACGGACGTCGTGAGAGTCCGCGTGCGTACATGCAACATTACCGGTGCAATGCCGCATGATTGACTACCCCTGCGTGCGCTCAACCCCATGTTTTCCAGTGCCCGCTGTTTGTTGCTAAATAGCTTAATATGATACGCATTACGGGGTCTTTCCCGACGTCTCGCAAACCCCGCCAGTCTGAGAGAGCCAATATTGTTAGTGGTGTGACGCAGGCAGACGGTATACCGAGACCGGAAACGCAGACAGCAGAGCGGCCTGTCCACATGCGCGGACGAGCAGCGCGGCAACGGCTGAGCGCAACAGAGCGGCGTCCGCGGCGGATGCATCTCGCGGTTGTGGCAAGACGCACCACAGAAGAGCGAGTGCCCTACACACGCGGATGGCACCTCTCGACACTCGCGCTGGGGACCAGCGCCGCTCAAAATGACATAGCACGGATGCGTTTAACCAGCTCGTCGGGACGCGCTATCATTCCGCCTGCCCGGACTCATGCACAGCGCTGTCCGCACGTGTTGCGCCTCACGCGAACGCGATCTGCTCGCGCTCGTGCATCTCTGTCCGAGACACGTCCACTTTGCGCTCGTGTCGCTCCGCACGCCGTCCCCTGCGCGCCCGCATGGCATTCTGCCATCACACTTACACTGCGCCGTCGCACGCGCGTCGGTCCCCTCTTGCTTTCTCCCCGGTCACGGACACCGCGCCCAGCTCTCTCGCGTCCCCGGACGCCCGTCGTCTGGACTACACGCAACACAAGAGGTACGTAAATACATGTCTTGACTACCATTGCGCGTGCTGATTGCCGTCACGCCTCCCCCTCCCGACAGCCCGCTGCACAACCCGCAGCATGGTCCAAACGCGCCCGCGCGCCCGTAGAAGCCCGGCCAATGACAACGTCAGCGGAGCGCAGCACACAGCGCGAAATGGAGGACGTACCTGCGGTCTTCTCGATCCCGCCTTTTCGCGCGCATTGCGAACGCGCCGACCGCGGGAACCACTCTGACCAAGCGGGTGTTAGCGTGAGTGCGCGACGGGATGAATTGCGTACCGGCGTGCATGCGGAACCTGATGCGCTGATGGCCCTATGCTCGTGCCGTCTTGCGTGCATGCGCTGGGCGGTCTTGCGCGCGAGTCGGCGACGTGAGTATCATATGCGTCAGTGACAATGACCGGACCGCACGCGAGACATACCCGGAAGCGCAAATCTCCTGTCAGTGTATAGTGACAGCGCAGAGGCTCCCACATCCAACCCGCGCGTGCGCCTTCAAATCGCGGGGGCGGTCAGCATCTGCGCCTCTTAAACAGCCTGCTTTTGACTGATGGCAGCGGCGACAGCAACAGCGATTCTTCATATCGCCCCGGGCGATACGAGCCGTGTCGATGCGGGGCCGGTAACGAGCAGTTCAGCGTGCATACGCAGTGAGACATAGCAGAACAACATACCTGCGCACATCCTCAACATTTGCGCCGGCTGACTGTTTGACTGTCCTGTGTGAGGGGAGGATATCCGCTACGAGGCCGCGCACGGACCTTGCAAGCCAAGGACTAGGATACCATCTTGTACTCGTCTCGATCTCGCCGCGCGGGATGTGTCGTGCCTGCGCGATCGGCTGTTGCAGTGTTTCCGTGAGATTGGTTGTCTCTGCCGTCATCTCCATTTACGTGAACACAGCCTGACCACCAATGTTACGCTACTGTACGTGATCCCGCTCGCTGAGCCTGAACTCACAGAGCACCGGAACACTCTCGCATGTAAGGGCTACGCACACCCTCTGAATGGACTAGCAATGGGAGAGCATTGCAGGAATGCAGGAGAACAAAGGCGGGTTCGTTGTGTGTAATAGATTGTAATTGATGCGAACGAGTATGCTGTCCGCACGACTGCTTCCATCGTCAGGGACGCAACATTGGCGCACTTTGTTATTGCATGCATGTCAGCGCCGGCCAAAGAGACCCGCGTTGTCAAGGGCGCACCTTCTAAGCTGTGCGACAGGTATGTAATGCATGATACGCGCATCCGCATCCTCTCGCTGTGATTTCTCCCAAACTTAATCCGTATCTGGCTGCATCCTAAGTGAGTCTGCAAGGCTTCCGAGTGCGGAAATAACAACACAACACCGGGCCTCTCATCTTGCCCCGGTCAGCTGCATGATCTGCAGTGATGCAAAGACACCCACTGTCCCAAATGCTGTCAACGACAACGAGTGTCAGCATCATGGCAACCATCAAGGCCGATTGTAATACTACCGAAAAGATGACTTTCTTCGAAGCATACACAAGCGTAGGTGAAGTTACCAAATACAGCCTAAGGCGTGTGAATGCGCTTACAGATTCTGTCATTGTTGCGAAGGGTGCCATCACTGCTGATATTCTGAAATTAGTGGCCCGACAACAGCCATGATTCCAGAAGAGGAATCAAATTACATATTAGTGTTCGGGCACAACACGCCGGGGATTCTGCCCGCGCTGTCTGGCCGAGACTATATAAGTGATGCATAATTGTACTGTGATAATCCCCCCGCTACTTCCCTTTTACTACTTTGTTACCTTTCTGGCCCGAGTTCATCTCTCTCTGTCTCTGTCTGTGATTGCGCTCCGAATGATGGCCGCAAACATGTCTTTGGCTTCCAAGTAAGTGGATTTGTGCCCATGGTTGTCTTGTGTTTCCGGTCACTAACAAGGCCTTGCTAGGTTCGCTACAGTGAGATGCTGGATCTGGTAGCCAGAGCACAGATGGTGGCGAGATGCTCTGCCGGGCTGTGAGCGAGATGGTTCGAGGTGGCTGGTAAGCATGTCGTTCAAAGGCCGTGATCGATCAGCGCTGATCTCAGATTGTACGGTGTGCGCAGGTTTGGTCACAGGACCCCCCGCCCGATGCGTGCAAATGCGTGGTCACACCTACGAAAGAGCCGCAAATCGAGAAGCCCATCGACGGGTCGAGCGAGCCGATATCACTCGCGCGGAATGGGTCTGCATCACACACAGCGCGTGCATCGGCGTCGGCATGCAGTGTGCGTCTGCATGCTGTATCTCGCTTCCAGAAGGGCATCAAATTCCGAGGCCAGATGCTCGTACCTGCGCGTGCGCCACGAAGGGCGGAAAGACATTATGCTCGGACATGGCCTTCAACGTCGCGCGTGGGTTTGCGACGGCAGGATGAGGTGAGTCTCGTTCTGTTCGACATGTTCCGGCAATCACTAAGGTCACTCGAACAGGCGTGCTGCAGCACACGGCTTGACGTTCTCTGCCCTGCACTCCGCCTCCAACTCGACGCCACGCGTGCTCACTGTCGGCGTCCCAGGTAGCAAAACAATCACGACGAGAGATCAAGACCTCCGCGGCGCAATTTCGCGCGGTGCGCCCCTCGCCGTCGCGAGCACCATGTCAGCGTGCGGCCGCGAACACTTGAATGACGGCGTACCTGGGTGCGCGAAGTGCTCTGCTTCCCGTTAGCGGACGGCGCAGAGGCCCTTGGCGGAGAGACGACGGTCCCGTCGTCATGCGGTGAGTGCGCGGCGTCTTGTTCTGCCATCTGCGTCACTGACTGGCACTGTTTTAGGCCGTTACCGCCTCTATTCGTATCGCATCACGGTGCCGCATGGCCCGGTGTCATCAATCTGCGGCTCCTCGGTCAAATATTCGGGACCAGAGTCGAGACCCGGAGCGCGCCGCGCTCACAGACCTCAAAGCGGGCGACAGCGATGAGGACGCGCCGCGAACGCTTGCAGTGCAGGCATCAGACGGCGTGTCGACGCCCACGCTCCAGCGCTTCACGTCGAACCGGCGCGTCGCCGGGTGCCCATACATGATGCTCGCGGGCTCGCACGGCAGCGACAGCGCCACCCTCCCCCGCCGTCCTGACCGTCCTTGCTGTCCTTACCGTCATCGCCATCCAGCACGGCCTCGAACCGCCTGCACCGTGCGATCTCGCGATTCCACACCTTGTTCCACGGCGTGCCTGTGCCATTTTGCCTGCGGCTGCGCAGACCGGTCAGCACAGGCGTACCCGTTGACCGTCGAGCGTCGAACGTCGAATGCGGGGTGAAAAAGGGGAGGAAGAAGGGGGCACTTACCGCGTGACCATGCGGCTCTTCCGCACGCCGTGCTTGTTCAGGAGCACCCACGGGTCGCGGTTGTCCGGCACGTCGTGCAGGATCGCGCGCTCCTGCGCAAGCGGCTGGCGCACGTCATCCGGCGCACGTCGTCGGGCGCGCGGGTCGGGTCTGAGGGCAGGATGCCCACGCGCACGACGAAGAAGGCGGCGCGTGCAGCACCAGCGGGAGGGTGTACAGGCACTTCTTCTCCGCGTCCATCATGTCCCTGTCGCGGCCCGGTCGTCAGCAACCACCAACAACCCTATCCCCCGCGCGCGCAGAAGTAGGATTGATTCCGCACCAGCAAACGCAGAACACGCACCGCGCAATGCAGTAGTGGTCCGAGAACAGCGCCCGGTCCTTGCTGTGCCGGCCCCTGCCCGCGCGCGGGATGCGCCACATCCCCGCCACGCGGTTGCGCGCGGTGTCCGCCCACTCGTCCGGGTCGCCGGCGCCCTTCAGGTCCTCGCGCGCATGGGCGTTGTGTGGGCAGAGCGGACACCGCGCAACGCGAGTGCAGCGCGTTGACCGCATCGCGTTTAGCGAGGTGAGTTGTGATGCTGCGGAGTGCGGCCGGGTAAATACTGATAGTTTTATTTAGGCTTACCTTGGCCGGTCAGCAAAATATGTGACCGGGCGCGCTCGCTGGACGCCAGCGGGGAGCGTCATCGACGGGCGCGCTCGGGGTCGCTGTCGCAGCATCGCGACAAAGACAGTGTACGCCGTCGGGCACATGTGCGCGGGCGACGGAACGAGCGCCATCGAGAGGCGCGGAAGACGCGGGCCATTGGAGTGACCGGCGGTGCTGCTTCTCAGCGCAGCGATTGGACGCGGGAGCGTCGGGCGGCGTGGCTACGTTGTCAGCAGGGTCAGCCGCGGGCTGCGTGAAGGGTGCCGTGGTGAGTTCATACTTACTTTTTTGCGGGCGTACTGACCTTTGAGCGGCAGCTTTGAGGCATAGGCAGCGGTGAAGCACAGAGCGTCGCGCGACCTACAGAAAGAGGCAGCCAGCGCGCGCAAACCAGAGTGTCTTGCTGGGCGCGTTGAGCGCGCGGGGGATGCGGGATGGAGCGGGCGCCATCGCGCGGAGGCAGCGAGCTGACCGGGCACGGCGCGCGGGCGTTCGGACATGGTGAGTAGTGCTCGTGCGCGGGATGTTGACCGCGATTGCAGGCAGGAGCGCGACCGGGCACAATGGCAGCGCGCGGCGTTTCGTGCCCCGTGCAGCATCTTCGCCCCCGACGCGCAACACAGGACTCGGTCATGTCGCGCTGACCGGGGGCAGCGCGTGCGCAAAACGGAGCGGGCGCCATCGCGTGTCGGCAGCGAGCTGACCGGGCACGGCGCGCGGGCGTCCGGACATGGTGGGTAGTGCTCGCGCGCGGGATGCTGACCGCGTTCGCAGGCACGAGCGCGAACGCGCGCAATGGCAACACGCGATATTGCGCGCCCGGTCAGCATCCATTGTGGCAGTGCGCGCCGTTGCGCACCCGGTCAGCATCCGCTGCGGCTGTCTGCGCCCTTGCTAGCCGGTCTGGCTGGGATGGTGCAGCGCAGCGTCTTTGCCCCGACGCGCAACGCTGGACTCGGTCACGTCGCATTGACCGGGGGCGGCGCGTGCTTCTGCGATGCGCCAGCGACTCAGCGCTGACTGGGCGCGCACGCAGGACGGAGTCTGCTGGTGGCGGGACGATGGCGCACGAGGAGAGAGACGGGCGAGACAGAGGGGACGTTAATGGTCGGGACAGCGGGTACGTTACCGGACGAGACTGTATGAATGTTAGTAGGACTTGTAATATATTTGTTACAACGCCTACCTTGTGCGACTCCACCCCCACCGCTCTCTATAGCCCACCGCTCTCTATTCCCCTTCCCACCACTCTCTATAGCCCACCGCTCTCTATAGCCCTTCCCTTGCCCTATCTCTTCATTTTCGCCCGGTCACTTCTCTTCAATTTCGCCTGGTCACTTCTTGCACGCTCGCGAGACGGGGGTGAACGTCAGAGTCCGCACAAGCAAGGGGGCGCGCGCGAGGAGGCGCACACGATCGCGCTCAGCGGACGACCAGCGCGACGCTGTCGCAAATGCGTCGCGGCCAGCGTGCGGATGCGATCGAGGGACGCAGAGTTGGCCATGACGAAACGGCGGGCAGTCGACGAGGCGCACCTCCCAGCTAGCGCCCGTAGAGCGCCCGATCAGTGTGCTTCCTTCCGAGTCTGTCCTTCGATTGACGGCCGCCTGGCCAGTCAGCGGCATGCCCTGTCCTGCCAGGAGCGCGAGGCTCGTCTTTGATCTGCTGGCAGTTCCACTCTGGCGGTCTCTGCGCGGTCCTCGCTCCTCACTGCGTTTATTTCACGCTTCCTACTCGAGATAGGAACGGGCTGAGACCGCGGCGTACTGGCCCTTTGACGACATGGACAAGAGGAATACATGTCAATTATAACGAGTCGAGCTGGATAGTCCGCGGTGTTGTATATTACCTACTGTATGCCCCCCGTAGCAAACCCCCACTCGATACCCCTACTCTATACCCCCACTTTTTCACTAGCCGTAGGAGAGGAGTAATATCAGCAGGAACTTCTTGTAGATCCATCGACGCCGCCATCCTTCATTGGCCTCCTAAACGGGCATCTTCATTTCCGATCGCACTTGGTTGTGATCCTTTACGCCGGCTGTGGCATATGGCATCATAGGTAATTTGCAGGTCAAACTATACGCCTCTGTTATCTATTACGTCTGTTGTGCTTTTTTATTCCTACTTGTGTACGGTGACTGTGCGGCGAGTATGCACACGGGTAAGCGAACTGGGTCCGCGATTGCGATGACCGCTATGTAGTATACCGTGCCTCTCTTAGACACCGGATTCCTAGATCGCCTACTGGTCAATTTTAGGTCGTCCGCGTCCTTGCAAAGCCGACGCATCGACGGCGGAGAAGCCCTAGTGTATGCATTCGGGTGTCCTGTCTGCCCCCTGCTTCTGCTTTACCTTTCAAAGCCCTGCTTGCAGCCAATCTCTGCCATTGCATTAGACAAGGAAATGAAAACAAAAACAGATCCCCAGTTCCCATCCCCTGTCTCCTGTCTGCTGCCTGCCGTCTCCTGTCACTGTCGCCCTGGACAACTACGCCAGAAACGGGCCTGAGATTCAATTTGCGGCCGGTGTATTTAAGGAGCGCGCGTTGCCAGCCGGAATAGCGCCCGGCGTCGCAAAAGGATGAGACAGAAAATCTATTTCGAGAGCGTGTAGTGACACCCGGTGTCTGGAGTCTAAACGACCGTGAAGGTTGCGCGTCGGGCTGAGCTCGGCTCCGCGCCCAACATACGCATTCTTTGAAGAACATTAATGCGAGCGGGCGCACTTCATCAGTTGGCATGTTCGATATTCAATTCACGTCGCGGTCAGGATGTCAGGCGCACGCCACACCGAGGCACGTCGCAGGCGATCGATCAGCGCAGGATTTTCTGCCCGCCCCACACCAAGCTCGCCGGATGCGGTGTACTGTAACGATGTACAACCTGCGCTGGGCCGATGACATCGATGACGCGGACGCCCAGGCCGCATCAGGCTGCACGGTGCACGCATATGGATTGATGGCGCGGGCGCACTATCACTCCGGCGCAGGGCAGGGCAGGGCCTATTTTTGGCGATCGAGGGTGATCGATGCTTGCCCGATCTGGGCGGCGCCTGCCCACGATTGTATTATCGTATATTGCATGATGCGGAAGCGCGCGTCTGCGATGACGTGGGGACCCCGAGGCGCGGCGCGGGTTCTGTGACAGGCACGGCGGGTGACGGGGTGACGTCAGGGTTTAATATTGGACGCCTTTGCTTATCGCGCGGTGGGGGACGCGGGCGATAGAGGCCGGTGCTCTGATGCGGGCGGGCCGGGTGGTGGTTGGGGGCCGAACGACCGCGTTTGGATGGGGGATGGACCGCGTTTGGATGGACGGATTGGGCGAGTATGTGATGGCGACGTTGGAACGCCAGGGAACGGTGCCGCAGCAGGGGCGTCGCCAGCCGGCAGGAGGCATACCAAGAGCGGGCGGACGGGGATGAGGAGGGCGTGCGGGAGGCAAGGCGGCGCCTCGCGTTTCGGGCCAGCTTTCGGCTCGCGTCACGCTGCGATAACGGGCGCGGGGACGTGTTTCCGTTTCTCGGTTGCGCGCGTGGGTCCAGAACGGCAGAACGCTGGGAGTGCGTGGGAAGGCGGGCGCGTGAAGATGGGAAACGCAGGAGGAGGCGGTGCCGCCGTGTTTGGGTGCGCGTGTGGACGGTGCGGAGTGCATGTCCGCTGCCGCACGCCGCGGTGTGCCATGGAAATGCGCAGGACGGTGGTGGGACATGGAGGAGGCTTATCGGGGAGGCGAGGAGGAGGGAGGACCCCGGAGTGCGAGGATTGATGGGAGTGGCGCTGAGCGTAAAGTCGCACGGAGGGAGACAGGGCCCGCAGCGCGTCTTCCTCTTTCTGCGACGAGCACTGCCGTTCCCGCTGTTGTACTTTCCCGTCCCTTTCCCTTTTTCTCTCGGTGTCGCCGTAAGCGTAAGCCCGCGTCTCTCTCCTCTCTCTCTCATCTTCCCATATCTGTATCTCTCTCTGTAACTCACCTGCCGCTCTTTTAGCTCTCCCCGCAGTGCCATGTCTTACCGCAGACGCGACGCAAGCCAGGGCTACTCCAGCGCCGACGCCTACCGCGCAGTCCCCGCCACCTCGCCGTCCTTCGTCACCGCCCGTGTCGGCGCCGCCAACAGCAACACCCCCTCGTCCTCCGACGAGGACGCCCACCTCACGTCTCCTGCCGTGTCCCCCCAGCCCGGGCCCATCGCCCAGTCCTTCGTTCGAGCACGCGCCGGCTCAGCTGCGCGCCATCGCCGTCGCGACTCAGCCGACGAGCGCGATATCGTGGACGGTCCGCCGCTCTCCCCGCCGCGTCCCCAGTTCTTCGCAGTCCCCGACCGCTCCTCGTGGTCCTCCAACGACCAGGAGCCCGCAAGCGACTCTGACGTCTCGTCCGCAGCAAACCTCGCTGGCCGCGGCTCGGGTCGTCGCATGTCTGTCGAGGGCAACCCCGTGAACCGCGTGCAGATGCGCTCTGTGACGCAGCCCATGCTCG